TCCTGCTACGTGGGGTGATGGGAGCTGGAGTCCAACATTTGAAAGGTGCCATGTTGGCTGCTCCTGGTCTGCAGCAACAGGCAAATGCTCTCGAGGGTTTCAGAGATAAGGCGTTCCCTGCCTTACCTGGGGATTCCAGGGTTAACATGTGACCTTTTGCATGCATACCTCTGTCATTATACCTCTCCCCAAATACTATGGTATTAAAAATGCTCCTCAGACAGCATAGATTAGAGCAGTGATCTCCCAATGTTGGCATTTTTCCAGAAATGTAATTTTCGGCTGGAGGTTTGAGAGGGCAACCATCTTTTGATATATTGCTTTGCTGGGGCAGGCTTTTGTAGCCAACATCCTGAAGAAAAGAGTTTCATATACTTGTATACCAATAGGCAAATTGGCCAGTTTAGGTTTCTCACAGTTTCTCCTTTTTCCAGTCTTAAATTCAATTCTCCGCATTTCCACGAGTCTGCATTAAAAACACACACACCTTATCCTGAAATTTCATGAGCATTTTAGAATAAATTTCCTCTTTTTTGCCTAATTTTTTTGCCTAATTTACATTTTTGGCCAGACACAATTTACTTTTGTATGTACGTTTATGCACATTTTACCTGAGTTTTTTTTCCTTGTACCCCTTACTTGACTAAAGAACTACTTTGCAAAATTCAGAAAAGTGTGAATTCTGAAGGATGGTTTTTGGTGGTTGTATTGTTTCAGAAAGGGCAAATTAGGTTGGTCCATCTTTAAATATCTCTCCCATCCTTAATCAAGGTTATATATCAACATTTCCACAAGTATTTGCTTATGGGCAAATAGCATGTATTGCTCCGGATTTCAGTGGGAATTCTGAATTCTGACTCAAGTGGGGGACCCCTGTCTTTTCAGTTGCAGTTTGTCATAACGGGAGAAAGCAACATCTAGCAAATTGCTGCTACCCACAGGAGGCACTTGGCTAATTTCAATTATGCCCCAGATGACTGTAATGTTTTATGTTTCCTTCCAGTGAGAATGGATGGAAATAATTGCAGTATAAGATGTTTCAGTTATATGTATCCAGGCTTTCTCAATTAATTAAACATTATAATGTAAAGTGGACTTTTCCCCCTGCTAACAGTAACTGTGTATGAAATTGCCAGATGCCTTTTATGGTTCTAATTAGTGCCATGCAAAAACTGCCACAGCAGCATGTGGACAGCGCCATTAGGAAACCCAGTTTACTTGTGGGCTCCCGGTGCTGATGGCAGGACCCCAGCCATTTCCCTCCCCTGGCCATTCAGTGCGTGCAGCAGCCAAATGCAAACTAGTCATTGCAATGTGTGTGTATTGATATATACAGTCAATGTCAACTAGGATATAGAGTAAAATAACTGGGAGTAATGAGAATGTATAAACAAATAGTCTATGTTGTTTCATACTGACACATATATGACACTAATCCAGGAGCCAATGCCAGAGGCAAGGGGAGTATGTTATGAACTACTTGAGGTATTCCTTCTGGGACTGCTCATATGGTATGATTTCTGTCTCATTGCTTTCAGACAGACTGATCTATTACCAACAGTAGCTGTGTTTGTGGAGGTAGATGTGGAAAGAGGAGACCAGTGCAGAAGATTAAGCTTCTCCTACCAGGATCCCTCCCCCTTCAGATTTGTTTAATTGAAGGCCATTATGAAATAGGAGAATAAAGTATTGGTGTGTTGCACAAAATTTGGTAACCCAGAGAGAGATCAAGATATCTCAATTGCTCTTTAAAAAATATACTGTCCAGCAGCAATATGATTTTAATGCCTTCATCCTAAACTTTCGGTTGTGAATTGTAAAATGTATGATTTCAGACTTCTAGCCATACTTAGAAGTTGAATCTTAATTACATTATGATAATTATATTTGATTTCAAGTCTGTTTGGACAAGATCTAGTTAATTTTCCATATTTTTTAAACAACAACAACAACAAATGTATAAAATAATATATGAATAACATGTTTCAAGATGTGAAATTCTAATTACTGCATATGTGCATGGGAAATCCATGTTGTTGTTTTTTAACAGTTCCTTTTCCTCCTGGATTTTTATAGTTCTGGATTATATTCATGGTGTGTTCCAGTTTTAGACGTGAGCTTGACTTTATGTTCCAGATATGGAGCAGACTCACTGGTAGCCTTAGGCAAGTCACCATTTCTCAGAGTTGGTTCCTCATCTTTTAAATTGCATTGAGAATGATCTGAAAAGATGAATGAGAAAAAGGCTGAAAACTTTGTGCAGTAATAATAATAATAAGGAAGTTATATTTACACTTTTGCTATTAATAACAGTAGAAAACTACTCTCAATTCCTTTGCTAGTTCCATTTGCAATTTCAACAACATACAAATTCTAAGTAGAAAATCCATGACTGAGACTGCATCAATACAAATGAATTATCTGAATATTGTATCCCCCCCCCCCCCGCAATCTGAGGGAAACATTTGAACTGTTGAGAGAATGAGAAATGGGGAGAGGGGGAGCCAAGGTATAATTCCAGTGCACTTGTACATTGTACCCATGGTTTGCACAATGTGCTCATTTTGTCCAATTTTTATTCTAGCACAGCCTTTCCCCATCCTGGGTACACTCCAGATATTCTGAACCACTACTCCCAGCATCACTAGCCAGCCTGGCTATGGTCAGGGATGCTGGAGTTGTAGCCCAACAATTTCCAAGAAACCTGGATTGAGGAAGTTTATACATTCCTGTTTACCAAATCGGCAGTGGCGAAGATACTGAACGATGTATCACGAAGTGCCCAATTTAAACCTTCCCTCCGCCATGAACTCACAACTTAAGCTCTTTCTGCCTCAGTCCTCCTTCCCCACATCTGCAGCATGGAGGAATAATATTGCCTTACCTAACAGGGCTGTTGTAATATATCAAATGAATGCATGTGAACACTTGTAAGTGCCATATAGATGTTTGCTATTATTGTGCTATCCAGCTGTCATACTTGGAGTAGACTTATTGCAATCCATGAAGATAGGAACTATTCCAATTAGTTGCATATATACTACTACTACTACTAACCAATATAATATATAGCCCAAAAATCACCATTCTCCTAATGATTTGCAGTGTCATATTGAAGTTAGCACTTCTGAGAAGCTTTGCAATTGCTGTCCATGTGGCACAGCCTCTCTGTTGTTTCAAACTGCCACCGATTGATTAGTGTGCATCATGCACCAGTCTTGGGTCTCATCAGGAGTGTAGCAAGGGCACCTTCAGACAGTCTGTTTATTGAACATTCATTCTGATTTATTTGCACACAGGTTATTCAGCACCTGCTGTTCCTTGAGCATCCACCCTGATCTGTTTGTGCAGAGATTATGGCTTCTTGTCAATCGTTACCCTACACTTTCTAACACGTTGCCCATCACTTTCCTTACTGCAAACAGTCTACATTTTGGGAGGAAATAGTTTTGTTGTGCAAGAACTCTAGAATGCTTTAATCCACTTTAATCATGCAAACCTTAATTTGCCGGAGGAATGTCGTGGATCGCTGTCCCAAAGTTGTTTCCCACTCAAAATTGCTGTCTTGGTGTTTTGATAGTCATTCATCCACATGCATGTTATATTCACAGTCATAGCACTGTGTGGGACAGCAGTGCAGGAGGTATGGAGCAGGCATAGGCAAACTCGGCCCTCCAGATGTTTTGGGACTACGACTCTCATCATCCCTGACCACTGGACCATCATGGAGCATCACCACCATGATGATGATGATGATATATTATTTATACCCCGCCCATCTGGCTGGGTTTCCCCAGCCACTCTGGGCGGCTTCCAACAGAATATTAAAATAGAACAGTCTATTAATGGGAGTTGTAAACCCAAAACATCTGGAGGGCTGAGTTTGCCTATGCCTGGTATGGAGAGTAGTGTGGGCGTTTGGGGTGGGGGTGGAATCCAAGAGCCAAAGCAGCAGGGCAACTTTGAGTCTTAACTAAGAATGCACAATGACCAGGCATAAATTATGGCTACCACTGCATGTGCATCTGCTCTGGGGGATTTTTACTCTTCTCTCCACCCTCAAAAAAAACGGGGAGGGGGGGGAAGCATGCTACTTCTTATGGCAAATCATAAATACTTTTTCTTTAAGTCCCCTAAGTTTTACTATATTTTATTCTGTTATGCTATTGGCCTGTGACAATTGGCCAAGTTACAGGGAACCAGGCAGAGGGCATTCTTGGTAGTGGCGCCCTCCCTGTGGAACGCCCTCCCACCAGATGTCAAAGAGAACAACAACTACCAGACTTTTAGAAGACATCTAAAGGCAGCCCTGTTCAGGGAAGCTTTTAATGTTTGATGTATTACAGTATTTTAATATTTTTTTGGAAGCTGCCCAGAGTGGCTGGGGAAGCCCAGCAAATGGGCGGGGTATAAATAATAAATTATTATTATTATTATTAATAGCAAATCCATTCAATGAGGGAATAGCTTTCCAAGGAACACAAGCCCAAAGCACCATTGCATTTGCAGAACTAGTTGTGAAGCACTTTGCCTCTTGGTTTCTGTGTTTCCAGAACATCCAGTGCACACCATATGCTGAAAATCCACTTTCTAATGGTAATGCAAGTGGATGCCACTTGCTGTGCCTGTCAGTGTTGCCACATATTCCTTGGTATTCCCTATCGTGCCAACTTTCACTCTTGCTTAACTATTCCCCTCCTGATGAGATTGTGCCCCCACCCCAAGAACCAAGAAATGGCACTATCTCAGCTACAGCTTTGTTAGGACTGCTTGGAAGAAAGACACCCCCCCCCCATCCCTAGTATTGTTGCTGCCTTTGGCGATATCTTTCTGAAGTATTCTCTGCAAACAGAACTGCTTAACTTAAATTAGGACGAGGTCAAATGTGTGCAAGCTGAATGATCATTTATTTATCTAGGCTTTTTTGGTGTATGTTTTCTCTTGCAGGCAGAAGGACTTCTTTGTTTCTGTTTGTGCATCTCTGAGCAGGGGGGAAAGCCATGGATAAGGAGGTAAGTGATTTCATTTCGGGGGGATATTTAAGATAATGTTGCTCCGTAATATTTTTTTGCTTCATAATATTATTCATAAGAGTGACAGGGAGGAAGCAGGCAGGCAGGCAGTTCCCCTTTTTCTGTTACTGACAAGTGAAGGGGATGATTAACGAGAGTTGTAGACAATGTACTAGTAATAGAGAGAGGGGGGCCCATAGAAGTTAAACAAAAGTGCCTTCAAGAATTTAGAGTATTCCCAGGGATCTATAGTAGAACCTCATTGTGCCTGTCTACTGTTTCTATTTTTGATTAGATTTATAAACACAGCACCACATATTTTCATGTGGCTTTGTAGCCCAGGGGCAGAACGAGATTGACTGCACTGAAACTGTGAGGCTTGTGAATTTCGGGCAAGGGACGGAGTGAAATAAGTAGTGTAATTGTTTTTGTGGAGTGACCGTGGGACCTCCTCTGTTCTGAATTACACATGGTTCAACCCTTTGACCTAACCAACCTCGGCAAAGCCTGGTAGATCTCCTAAAGCTGTGCTGAAAGGTCCTATCAGTGACATGTTGGAACATTATCTGTCATGCGAGATGTGTGCCAACAACCATATTAAACTACATTAATTACTACCGAGGCCCACATTTGTGACAGTCTCAACTTCGCTTACCCCCATCGTCATGTTGCTTATTGTTCAAAAAGGACGTACAAATGGGCCGTTTGTTGAATCGGAATACGGCGACAGTGTTTTATTTTAAATTGCACTTTTGGAGAACATTCATATTGGTTGTGCCCTTGTTCTTTTACACCAGTGATGATTTTTGTGATGGGGTGGGGGAGGGGGAAGAAAAATGTCAGTAATAGGTTAAAGAACTCTCAGGATAAGAACAGCAGTAGCATAGAAAGAGTTACATATTCTATTGCTTGCATTTTTTGTGCATCAGAAGTTTGGTGTGTTTTTTTAAGTGAGAAAATGGTATAATAATTTTACAATGAACATGCTAATTCATTATGACTGTTTCTTTAAAAGTTTTTTTATGCCAGTTTCCTTAGAACACAGTGTCAAGAACTCAGTTTAATTACTTAGAATATTCATTGTGTCTGATAATTTCTATACGTACGTGAATGTGTGTACTCACATCCTAGCAGGGCAATGCATTAAAGATATCCAGCGTAAGTATATAAGGTGAAAACCTTAGCTTGAAATAGGTTTAATTTGGACAAGTAATTTTATGATGAAGCTTAATTGTTTAACACTACACTGTATACAGGAATGTATAGGTCAGCTAAATCTAGGCATATATGTATTATATTCTGTGCTATGGGACCACAAACATTTTTTTAAAAGGATTTAGCTGTGGCTCTTTTGTCATATAAACTTTTTTTTAACAAAACTGATGTTGCCTTTTATTTTCCGCTTGGGATGGTGCTAGCAAGTCAGCTGCAAAAAAGAAAACAGCAAAACTACATTTGACCCCACCAAGTGTCATGCTCATTAGCAGTAAACCGTTTGCTCTTCTTAAAGCAGGCAGGTGCAAATTGCAAGCTGTTTCACTCTGGCTGTTATTCCTTAAATAGATGGAGTAATAAGGCGAGGATTGGCAGGTTGGTGGGAGGTTCTGTCCCCACCTGCATACAGGAAAGTTTTAATACTGTTGGACCAGGAAAATGCAGGAATTAAAATACAGCAGTTGATGTACCAATACAATTGAGCTGGTTTAACAGAAGGGATATGCGCGGCGTTGTAAGATATTGTCCATATTTATCTAGGGTGAGTTCTGGAAGCAGAGCTCTGTTTTATGTTTAAAGGCGAATGCTCTCACTGAAGTGAATGAAAACAGAAGCCAACATACCTGTTCCTGTTTACCATCATTACACTCCTTAGAGCATTTCAGGCACTATTAAGTTCCTGGAATCCTACCAGATTGACAATATATTTTCCAGCTACCACAACTCTTTTGGCTGTATTCAGACAAGATCCCAAAGGCGAGGAAGACTGTGGGGCCGGGGGAGGAGGAGGAGGAGGGAGTCCACGGATGAATCTGCTGAGCTAGTTTGCTGATGCTTCAAACAGTTGTTCATTTTAAGGACACCTCATTTAATTTCATGGAAGAGACACAGCATGCCAGCCTGTGTCTCAATCTAAGGTATGCATTTCCTAAAAGGAACTAAAACTCTGTCATTCCAAAGGCACTCTTCTTTTTGACTCCTAGCCTGCATAGGGACTGCTGTCTGGAAGTGGTAACTTTAACTTTAACTCTAAGCCTGCTGATGAGGTCTGTCTGTATGATCTTCGCCAAGCAGATAAGGGTAGGGAGACAGCTCAGAGCACAGCTTGTTTACAGCGGGACAGGAGAAAACAGCAAGACACAAATGTGGGCTGACGTTTTCATGAAGCACAATGGGTTGATCACAGATTCAATCTGACTGCCCTGAACTGAGCGATGATCCGTACAGTATGCAAAATTCACTTTCTGGCTGGTCTGTGCCCACCAGCTTCGCAGCAGCTTTTGCAGAACCCCTGAGCCATGGCTTTGAGTGGAACCAGAACTGAACACGGCTTTGTTGTACCCAATTCCTTCTGACAACAATCACATTCTTTTAAAAACTTCATAGGTTTTAGTTGTCACTGGTTATAAATGAGGATTGTTGTTGTTGTTGCTGCTGCTGCTGCAGCTGCAGCTGCAATACTGGCTGTGTTCGCACATAGACATTATTACCGTGTTCCAGAATCAGTTTTACGAAAGCATTCCATTCGTTTCAGTGACACAAGATCCCCAACAGAAATAACATTGGGTTGCTTTCTTTGCTGATTAAACTGTGCAGAGACGGCCTCGTCCTTCGAAAGGATTTCTCTCTCCTTTTTAAAAAACAATTTCTAAGTCATCATCACATTCAACTTATGAGTATTTAACACAGTGAGTGGGAAAGATGTCAGAGTGTCCCCTTAAAAATATGCGCTGTTAATTTAAGGAGGGAGAAAATGGAAATCATCATTACATTTAAAAAAGACTTGAAAAGCGTCATACAGCTACATTAGACCTATAAGACCCAGAGAAATGGGTCACTGAGTCAACATCCTCTCTGCAGCAAGCACATGCACGTGTTTTTGTGTGTGCTTTTTTAAAGGATAATTTTTTTAATTGTTGAATCAAATTGCTGGGAGGGGGCAAGAGTAATATCAAGCCCTCTGCTTCTCCTGCCACCATATTTCTCTTCCTTCTTCCCACCAGATGTAAAATCCACAGTATACTACAAGCAAAGAGCAGAAGAAAACAAAAGTGTTCCACACCAAACAGATAGTTTCAGGTGATTCAGTCAGCAGTGCAAATTTAAAAAAAGGAAAGCGTGGGAAGATTTCACCAAATATTCTTGAAGGTGGGATGAAATTCTGAAATAGAACTCCCTGCAACTTTAATTTAGATTTCTTCAACATGAACACTGCCACCAATTCCCTTGGAATGCCATTAAATCTTCCTAGTAGCTTACAGAATTGGCTTAGGTTTGAGATTGACACGAACACCGAGGATCAAACCAACTGTTAACTAAGATTGCTTGTTAAGGAGATATTTTGTACATAAGGAAATGCTGATATGTACATTGGGGTCTTAGATAGATAGACGGACAGATAATTTATTACGGTCAAAGACCATCTCGCATTGGGATCTTAAGTGTGCTTGATTAGCCCTTCCAAAGACTCAAGAGATACTGTTGCAGACACCAGGTTCCAAGTGGCTTTTGCAACAAGCTGTATCCCAAATCCACTCATTACCTAGTCCAGCCATTGGATACATTCTGCCTCTGCCACACAAGCTCAACTGGTTATATTTCTAGATGCTTGGATAGTTCAGTTGATTTTTAAAACCTGCTTATCTAACCTCCTTCTGGCAAGACCTTTGCACAGAACCTTTGCACACAATCACTGGCTCTTTTCTTTCGAGCTTCACCAGCTAAGTACTTTTTTTTTTGTTTTTTTATAAAATTATTGTTACAAAATTGTACACACATAGATGATAAAATATGACATGACTAACAAAAAATGGGTCACTAGGGGTGTAGAAAAGTACCAAACATATTATTTCATAGTACATAACGGTGAGGTGGTTACAGTAAACCAGTAAAATGAATTCTTCAATAAATCAACTTGGAAAACAGAGTAATAAGAGAGAGCCAATGAGTAGCGCCTGCTTTTCTACACCACATTGCAATATTTGTTGTATTCCTCATCCATGTGTTGTTACATTTGTATATTTAATAAAAACATACCATACAGTGTAAAAAAAATCTTTTCCCCCCTTTTCCCTTGCCATCTTCAATTTTTGCGACAGCTTTCCCCTTATGGCCGTTTACCAGAATATATTATACCAGTGATCCATATTCATTAACCACAAGGTTTTTCCAAGCTCTGGCCATTACCTTTCTAGCTGCTGTTAATGAATATGTTATTAATTCCTTACTTCTTAATTGGTCCATGTCTGAAGTATATAAATTAAGGCTAACCCCAGAGTTTTGGGGATTGTCCGAGCTGTAATCTGAGATACCTCTTTAAAAACTTCCTTCCAAAATTGTTCAACTTGAAGACATTCCCACCACATATGTTGGTATGTACCTATAATTTGGCATCCTCTCCAACATAACAGAGAGCTTTTGGGTTTTCTATAAGATAAGCACCTTGGTGCTAAATACCACTCCTGCACAATTTTTAGTAAACAATTCCTAGTAGTTGCTGAGATTTATATGGTGCTTTTGTCCATACATTGTTCCATTTATCCTCTTCAATGTTTATATCCCAGTTTAATTCGTACCAGCTTTTTATATGACAGTCTGGGGGCTAAAACTTTTGTCTATTTTCCCCCATGATCTAGTGCCCCACCAAGCTCATTCTGCCCTCGGCAGCCCCCACCTGCCTCCCTTCTTTCTTATATCCAGTTTAAAGGATGGCACTGGCTGCCAGCAAATGGAGCTAAGCTAGTTGGCTCTGCCTTTCATTTGTTGTAGCGCCATCTACTGTTGGTCTTCCAGCCTTCTTCCCTACCAGTCACAATCAGCACCAGCCCCTGTTAATCCTGCTCCTCCAGTGCCTGAGGCCTATTCCATTGTCCCAGCAGCAGCTATTAATTCCTTTTAAAACAACAACAACCCAGATACCTTATTTATGTGTCTCCTACATGGCACTGAATTTGTCTCTTCCTGGTTGCTTCACCTCTGGAGAACGTCTCAGCCTTTGAGGAAGCTCAAATGCCAATGATATTTAAAAGTCTCATGCTGTAAATCTAGGCTAATGTTCAGTGTGATATGTAAGGCATTAAGAATGCAAGTCAAGTATCAGTATTAGTTAATTGTATTTGAATAGTTCTTTATGACAGATCATAACTGTGAAATGCAATGAAACAGAGTCTATTTGTATAAAAATTAGCAGTATCCTGAACTTTTATTTTTTTAAAGCAGGGATTTAAAGCCATGTAAACAAAATTTGGCAACTGAAGCTGATTTAAGACATTAAATGCCACAAGGTTAATGACACCCCCAAAGCATTTGGAAATATTAATCTTTCTTTTTCTCTTTCTTTCTTTCTTTCTTTCTTTCTTTTTTTGGAATGACTAAAATAATCAGAGAAGCCAACTATTTTTCTCTGTCTCTTATTTGCTTTATTGAATACTTATTTAGTGTTCATTAAAGAAAATGTATGTCTTAACCTGCCTGTACTATAATTTACTATCACTTGGATTATAGTTTAATTATTTTGACAGAGTATTATTTGTGACTATGACATACATCATTTTATGCTTTCTCTCTCTACCATTCAGAGAGAAAGACAGAAAATGATAAATGATAATAAATATTTTAATTGTTCCATTCATGGCGGCAATTTTGAGGATGCATAGGATGTCATTTTGTCACAATCTGGCATTGAAAAATAAGCACTGCACTGAAAAGTATAATAGCCCTAGCAGTTTGTGAGTTTAACTTTTCTATTTAGTTACAAACATCATACAATTTATTCTGGAGTGAACTCATGAAATTTGTAATGTGTCTGTGGAGTGGACAGTTTGCAAAGCCTGTCTACATAAAATAGATCATTGGTGGGGAGATGGAGGGGAAGGGTCTGTTGGCAGCTCTTGGGTAAGAAAACCTCCATGGATCCTCTTTCCTGAATGTGCCACCCTCTACCTTACTGCTGTTGATGCTGCCCATTTGTTTTCTCTCTTCCTCTTGTCCCAAGCTGCCCAGAAAATGAGGGCAGGGAGCTCTTAGCTGCTGCCTGACAGGGGCAGGAGTCAGGAGCATGTCAACAATAAATCACATGAGTAAGTGAAGTTAACTCTTTATTAGAAGAAACAAGGGCTGCTCAGATCTAATGGGCATAGCAACTCTTCTCAGTTGATCTTGCTTCTATGAGCCAGTTGTGGAGACTAAATGTTCCTCTCTTCTCACAGCTGCCCAAGTCTCCTCCCCCAGGTACTTCCTAAGCAATCTGAGACTGGACCGGTGCACTTGTCTATGTTCCTCCTTCTTCATACCACTTCTGGTTCTGGGAGACCAGTAGGAAGGGGAGCTTGTCGCAGCAGGAGGGGGAGATGCCCTGGCTTCTTCATTTGCTTGACACATCTTTGCTTCTTGCCCCTCCCCCTGCTTCCGCTTCCGCTTCTGATTCTGATTCTGGACTTCTCTGCCATGGAATCTTCCTGCTCACTAAACCCTGTTATCTCTTTAGCTTCCAACACTTCCTTCTCAGTCTTCTCTCTCTTCTGCCTCTGACCACTCATTGTCATCCCACCGCCAATCCCTGGGCTCTGAGCCTTCTTCCCTTGGGTGTTCCCCAGCTGTAGCCTCCCACCATCCCGCTGCGTCCAACCAGTCCATGACATCGCCCCTCCATCTCCTTGCTCCCATCTAGCAAAGATGGCAGGGAAGCAAGCAACATCAGCAAGGAGCAGGAAGAAGACCAGGGAGCTCATTGGGCTGACAGTGGACTCTCTGTTGAGACATGGGTCTTGGCAGGTGCCTGAAGCTGCCCACCCCTGATGCTGGCCTTTAGTTTGTTGGATAAATATGAAATTTCCAACTTGCTACCATCTATGATTGCCACCTTTAAGCTAGTAAATTATCCATGCAGCTCAGTGAATCAAGATAAGGAGGACCAATGGAATCTCTTTGCACCTTCCTTCTTTCCTTATAAGGTACTAGCAGCTTTGTACTCAGTATTGCTCAAGAAGTCTAAGAAATAGAGAATCAGTGCAGTTTTGAAAGGCTCATTCCACCATCGAAATTATTCGAAATGGGGATGATGGGGCTTGTACTGTGGCCAACATATTTTCCAGCTGATGGAGAAGTTTGAGATGACTCCTGTGTCTGACAGAATCTCTCAGCTCCCACCTTGGGGAGAGGAAGATGGCATAGAAGAGGACTGGGTGAGCAAGAGATTCGAGACACCTCACTCCTGCTTTCAGCTCACCACTAGTTGGAACGCACATTCTCTGCTCACTACACAAATGCCTTAAAATGCAGCGAACATGTGTCCAAACCACTTCCAGCGCTCTATAGAATTGATGACAATTTTTGCTCTGAGTGTTGACCTGCTACTGCCATTCTGAACACCTATAAAGCCCTTCATAATGTTCAAAATGAATCACATACATTACCCCAGCAATCTGTGCAAGAACTCTATAAGATAGGCCAGTAACATTATCCCTATATTTTCAGGTTGAGACATGGTGGCTGGCTGAAAGTTCTCAAGTGAATTCTTTGGTTCAGGACTATTCTTCAGGGTAGCCCACTTTTGTACTCACATACTTATTATTTAGACAGTTTTGCACGCATACGTTTGCCCCAGCTTTTGAAACTTTGTCCTGAAACAATTTAAGTTTGTGTATTTAATGCATGATTTAAGATGAAGCTAGCTTTTGGGCTCCAAGTACTAGTGATGACAGCAAGCCCATTTGCTTAAACTCAGATTTTCCTCCAGTCATATATTAAGCAGAGGTGGGGGTACACTCTTGAGAGCAAAAATGATACAGAGGTGAATGTTCCTGCACCCCCTGCCCTTGGGATTGCATGTGTGTATTGAATAGTCCCTAGACAGATGGGTGACTATAAATGATGAAAGCCAAACAAACTCATCCATCCTCACAGCTTCTCTCTAAGACACTTTCCTTCCAGCTGGGCTCACTTTTGATAGTGGAGAGCAGCAGGGCTGGTGGTTGAGAAAGAGAAATGGCATTAAGGGATACACTGTGCAGAAGTCAGCCACGAGCAGAGGGAGGCTTGCCCATTCTCATCTGCACACCGTTTTATATGCCATTGGAGCTGCTTCTAAGTACAGTTTGAGCATTTGCAATAAATCTGGTTCTCTAGATAAGTCTTGTCCTCTGGTTTTTCATTGTTTGGGGTAAAGTATCCAAAAAACCAGCATTTTGGGTGCTTTTTCTTTTGCTAATTTTTACAAACACTGTGAGGACACAAGTGATAACCATCTTTGGCACTGGCAACAGGAATCTGAAGAAATAAAAATGCATTTACCATTATAAACAACAGTTGATGCTGTTTCCCCCCTATACCCAGTTCAGTTCACCGAATAGTGAATCCAAGGTCAAGTTTTCCTTTGATGAAGAGTCTTTGTCTTAATTATAATACAAAATAATACAAAAGGAAGTATTTTAATGTGACCTTCATTTGGCATTTGTCTTAACTTTCCTTCTCCTGTTTTTATTTAATTCTTCCACTCTGTTGTTCAATTAGTGTTTGACCCCTTAGCGGAGATGTAAATTAAATGACATTTCAATGCCATCCCATATTTAAAATACTGTGTTAGTTGTGGATCATAAAGGGTAATCTTCGTTCTTAAGCTAATTTATTCATTTAACAATTTCCCTCCAGAAGTTCCAGCAGAAGGCTCTGAAACAAACTAAGCAGAAGAAATCCAAGTCGGCTGAATTTCTGATGGGTGAGCCTTGCTTGATGAGTTATTGCTCATAATTTGTGTAAGGATTAATTAACTAATTACAGACAAATGGCTGTGGGCAAAATTTTGCTCTTGCTTGTCAGGGTGCAATTTGTAATTATTTTAATCATTTATTCTCTCCCCCCCTCCTTTTTATATAAAGAGTTAATTTTAACCTAATTCTGTTTTGGTGCCGTTTGATGCTGATAACTCTCAAGTCTTTCAGTAAAAGGAATTATTAGAAGGAATTTTCTGCTTGTCACTGTTTTGGGCGCTCCTCTGACCTTGCTGCTTCTCCCCCCCCCCTTGCTTCCCAATAGGAAAAGACGGGAGAGTTGCAGCAGAAGGCATTGCAAATCCAGCTTTTAACATCAGCAGCACAGATCTTTCAGCATATCAGGCTTCAGAGGAGGAAGTTATTAGACGTGACAAGCCGGGTAGCACCCTTGCAGCTCACCAACAAAAACTCAGGCTGCAAGCCCAAGCTGAACCAAGAGGTGAGCTTTCACTCTTGATCACCATCAGATTGAGTGACAGTGGTTATGCTCTTGATCTAACCTGTGCATTCCATGGTGTATATGAGACATTCCATCCTGATGCGTTCCAATAGAAACCTGGGATGCTAAAACTGGGAGGGCAAAATGATTGCTGAAAACATCTGACATATACACGTTTGAAGATCTTTCTTCCCTCTCCTCCTTTTATATTCACATCCTGTTCATAATTATTAGGGAAATGCATGGTGATCAGTGCCAGAATAAGCTTCATTGAAAAGTGCCCTCTTCTGTCTTGCCTTAATATTTATGTTGCGTTAAAACTAAGACAGCACTGAATTCAAGAATGCTGGCTCCAAGATTAGAGGGAAGGCTTTTTCATTAGGCAACAACCACGTATAATCCTTTCCCAGCTATCACCTGAATGCTGTCTGTCAACCAATATTTCCCCCTTAATTTATTCTGTTCTTTTTACCTGTGTGTCTACAAAAGCTTATCACCTCTCATCTACTATAGTAATAGAAAGCCCATAATCTTTTTTTCAATTACAGTCATACCTCGTGTTATGTTTGCTTCATGTTGTGGCTTTTCAGGTTACGAACACGGCAAAGCTGGAAGGGTTTACTTCCGGGTTTGCCGTGCGCGTGCATGCAGAAGCAATCGGCGCACTATGCGCAGAAGCACTCTATCGTGCTTTGCACATGTGCACTAGTGGCGCTCTACTTATGGACTTTTCAGGGTGGGATCACATCCGAAGGTAGAGGTACCACTGTATAGTTTACTAAGTTTCAATATTTTTAACATATACAATCAAAACACCGTTTCGTCATTTCTCTTATTTTTATCAACTTCCCACCCCATTTTCCATGGAGTTTTTGCTTCTCCCCTTCTGCTGCATTCTTATCTATTAAATCATAACCACAGTGTTATAATCCAAGAAAGCCAACAATCTTTTTTTGTTGTGACAACAGTGACTTCTCCTTTAGTATGAGGCCCTTGCATTTAAGTTTCCAAGTTTCATGCTTAGCATTGTCCTACCTCTGTAATTTCGGCTTGCCATACGTCAGGAAAATTCCTGACATGTCCTGGTTCCTAGGTGTAAAAATGGCGTCATGGGGGAATTTTGCTGGAACGGCAATATGTCAGGGAAAACCCAGATGTATGGCAATGCAAGGAAAAAGCAGCGGAAACAGCTCAAAAACCTTAAAATCACTATTTTGGGGGTAGGTTTCTCCCCCAAAAGCTCAGCATTTTGTGTTTTTTCCTAAAAAAAAACCTCAACAACTTTGCGGGTGTCAGGAATTTTACTTTTTGAAATAAGGCAACCCTACTGTTATTGCCATATTGTTTGCTTGTTCATTTCTTTAGTCTTACCTTCTTCTGTTAAAGAACAGCTTGCATAGGGTTCACAGGTGGTCTCCATCCTGGTACTGATCGAACCCAGACCCACTTAGCAGCAGCACAGTGGCTGGGTCACCTGCCCTTAGGCCAAGGGTGGGAAACCTGTGGCCGCCCAGGTGTTGCTGGACTTCATTTCCCATCATCCCTAGTCAGCAGGCCATCTGTCAAAGCTGATGGGAGTCCAACCAGACCCAGAGGGCCACGAGTTTCCCCTATCTCTGCTTCCAGCCATGCTCTGAATTTCAGCATGCCTGATGAGATTTGTGAATTAATATGTCCATTTCATAGGGAGAACCACCTGGAAAAAGTTGCATAATAGCATTGAATTGACAGGTACTATATTCCACCCCACCTCCTGCACGTTTCCTGATTTGACTTGCATTCTAAGAATTAATTTGTTTCGAAATGATGTATTTTTAAAACTAGAAAAATTCCCATGGAGAAGCAGAGCACTAGAAATTGTTAGTTTATCCAGTTCTGCATAGTCCATTAATTTCTTGAAAGACCTACATTGGCTCCCAGTACGTTTCCGAGCACAATTCAAAGTGTTGGTGCTGACCTTTAAAGCCCTAAACGGCCTCGGTCCAGTATACCTGAAGGAGCGTCTCCACCCCCATTGTTATGCCCGGACGCTGAGGTCCAGCGCCGAGGGCCTTCTGGCGGTTCCCTCATTGCGAGAAGCAAAGCTACAGGGAACCAGGCAGAGGGCCTTCTCGGTAGTGGCGTCCACCCTGTGGAATGCCCTTCCAGCAGATGTCAAAGCGATAAACAACTACCTGACATTCAGAAGACATCTTAAGGCAGCCCTGTTCAGGGAAGTTTTTAACGTGTGATATTTTACTGTATTTTTGGTTTCTATGGAACCCGCCCAGAGTGGCTGGGGAGGCCCAGCCAGATGGGCGGGGTATAAATAATAAATTATTATTATTATTATTATTATTATTATTATTATTATTATTTCATCCTCCATTCTTCAATCGTCGGTAACTCTTCTTGCTTCCATTTTTGGGCCAATAATATTCTTGCTACTGTTATTGCATATAAAAAGAGCTTACATTCCTTGCTATTTATATCACTCCCTACAATGCCTAGTAAAAATGTTTCTGGTTTCTTTACAAATGTATATTTCAACATTTTTTAATCTCATTATATATCATCTCCCAGAAGTTTTTCACCTCTTTACATTCCCACCACATATGGTAAAATGTTCCCTCTTTTTCTTTACATTTCCAACATTTATTATACAGGTACTATATTCTACCCCACCTCCCTCACGTTTTGATTTGACTTGCATTCTAAGAATTAATTTGTTTTGAAATGATGTATTTTTAAAACTAGAAAAATTCCCACGTGGAAGCAGAGCACTAGAAAATGGACAAGTAGACCCAATGCAATTTTTGCTTCCGGGAGGAGCAGTGATTGAGTGAGAGTGGAGGTGAGGTACCAAGTACATTGCTGGTGCCAAACATATTGCTCTGCTTTCCTTTGAACCACATCAGCGAGGATGAGAGGGGGAGGATCTCGTTGTCTGGGCAGCCCAGGACCTCCACACACACTGCCTAGGCCTGGGGCCCGGGCAGGTCACTTTGGTGCTGCTAATGCAGCAGTTTGTCTTCAGCCCTGGAGGTGCAATCCATTGTCTCTCAAGACAGACGGATGCCAGCAACAATTCCTGGGGAAGCCTATGTTCAGTTGTAGTCTTAGCCATTGCACCTCTATCATCTTCTCTGCTGAGTGAGAGAAGCCGTCCCAGTTTCTGATTTGATCCCGGAATGTCCCACTTTCCCTTAGGACATCCCTATTTTCATTGGAGAAATGTATGGAAGGGTATGGAGTTATCCGACCTCTGAGCTGCCTGAAGGCAATCCTGTGTAGGGAAGGTTTTTAAAAAATGTTTTTATATATGTTGGAAGCCGCCCAGAGTGGCTGGGGCAACCCAGTAAGATGTGTGGAGTATAAATAGTAAAATTATCGTTATGGAATGGGACGTTCCTATTTTCATTGGAGAAATGTTGGAAGGTATGACATCCACAGGGATGTGGGTGGCGCTGTGGGTTAAACCACAGAGCCTAGGACTTGCTGATCAGAAGGTTGGTGGTTCGAATCCCCAAAACAGGGTGAGCTCCCGTTGCTCGGTCCCTGCTCCTGCCAACCTAGCAGTTCAAAAGCACGTCAAAGTGCAAGTAGATAAATAGGTACCACTCTGGCAGGAAGGTAAATGGTGTTTCTGTGCGCTGCTCTGGTTTGCCAGAAGCAGCTTAGTCATGCTGGCCACATGACCTGGAAGCTGTACGCTGGCTCCCTCGGCCAATAAAGCGAGATGAGCGCCGCAACCCCAGAGTCGGCCATGACTGGATCTAATGGTCAGAGGTCCCTTTACCTTTATCTATGATATCCACACACACCCCATCAATATGATACTGTGTTACAGTCAGCCCCCCCCCCCCGTCCCCAGTTCTGGCACCTCTCAGGTGGGCACCATTGCCATTATAAGAGAACAAGGGAGGTGTTTGTGGTGAGTTCCGGCACCTCTTTTTCTAGAAAAATAGCACCGGTTACAGGGATTCCTTGCCCTTAAGCATGTCTCAGGTTCTGTCTGGTTCCTTATGGATTGAAATTCCAATAGTTAAAACGGCTGAATCGAAACCGCATTATTGAATGGTGCTTATTAACAGGCTCAGTTCACACCAGCAAGTGTTTTCTGAGCCATTCAACACACAGCATTTCCCCAGGAAAGCCAGCAGGTCTCACACTGGCACAATGCCCTCTGCTGCCTGCAGTAAAAAAGAATTGCCAACAAAACGACACTGTGCGTGCAGCATCACATGTGCAAACAGGAGCAGATGCAGTCAGTTTTCCAAGGAGAGGAAAGGGAGGGGAGAAGCAGGGATAGGGAAGGAACGTTCAAACCATCCTAGACAGACGGGAATTGAATCTGCTTAATGCTCATGAACATTATCCGGGACCTGTCAGCAGTGACAGTTTTAAAGCAGATCTAAATGTGGAGATAGGCACATAGCACTGAGACAGTACCACTCCCAGTTGCATCTGGGGAATAACCTGTCTAAAAGCTGCCTCACACCACGAAATATACTCAGAGTTGAGTGTGGATTTCATGCTCTTTATTCAGCTCATAGTAGTGAGGAATGAATGTTCCCCCCAAAATATCTGCTTTATATACATTATTTACACAATGGGCCGCACGTGATTGGCTAATTCCGGGATTCTCCTGTAGCCAATCAGGCTGCGGATTCACTTCCACCTGGAGCTGGATTGGGTGGCTTCTGTGGACCAATCATACTGCTGCATTGTTCTAGGACCAATCAGACTGCTGCATTCTGAATCCTATTGTTCTAGGACCAATCAGACTGCTGCATTTTGGATCCTATTGTTCTAGGACCAATCAGACTGCTGCCTTTTGTATCCTATTCAGCTCAGTACATAACACACCAGAATCTGCCTGCATCTGGAAAACCAGCAGGCCAGGTAAAAGGTGAGGTGCAAAGCCTTCTTCCGCCTGATACACAAGCCTTCCAAGCAGAGGAATTATGAGGCATTAGGTGCATTCAACAAAGTGATTTCCCTCCTTGCACAAATTCATTGCTCGATTCCCAGGTTATATGAGGGAAGTCAGTTAGCCTTTGCACACCTACAAACACTGGATGTTGGGTGCATAAGCCCTCTCAAATGTTATGGCCATGCATGGATGTCCAATGGGACAGGCATGCCTAGTGTGCAAGGGGAGCCAACGTGGTGTGGTGCTTATAGCGTTGGGCTGGGAGACCAGAGTTCAAATCTCTACTTGGCCATGAAGGTCACCAGGTGACTTTGGGTCAGTCACTGTCTCTCAGCCTAACCTACCTTGCAGGGATGTTGTGAGGATTAAATAAGGAGGGCCAGAACCATATACATCACCTTGAGCTCCTTGGAGAGAAAGGGGGGATGTAAATACAATAAATAAGCAAATAAATAAATTGGATCAATTGGTATCTGGATTGGAATGTGGTTATTGTTATGCTTCTCCCAACACAATGGAATGGTCTTCTTCTTCTTCTTCTTCTTCTTCTTCTTCTTCTTCTTCTTCTTCTTCTTCTTCTTCTTCCACTAGATTTTTAAATGAGATAAAAACCACAATCTGGTTAACTCTTGCAGAACTTAAATCTTATATGCTTAAAACTTGATGAATTTCCATGCACCTACTCCCCTATGGAAGGAGGATCTTTGCCAGATCAGTGTGTGAGCTGATTGGACTAACTACAGTAAGGCATCAGTCCTAACCCCACTTACCTGGAGTAAACCCTATTGAATTAGGGATTGCTGGATTGTCCTGTAAGATGGAAAGCCGTCTTGGAAATATTATTGATGAAAGCAACTCCTGCCTTTCATGGAAATTGTCTTAAGAAGTTTTCACAGTCTTTCTCGACAGCTTGCTCCATGCAAACCGAAAAGCTTAGCTTGTTGATCCTTAGACCTTGTCAAGTAACACCAGAGAAAACTAGCCCTGTTTCATGTATTCAGCCATCATGTGAGAGGAGATAGCATATCCAAGAAGAAGCAGTTTATATAATTTTTCCTAAATAAATCAACTCAGAAGACCATTATAAAACTTTTAAGTTTCTTCTCAATCACAAAGGGTTTTTAACAGAACCCAGAACAAACTGCTTAGGTTTTTTTTAGCACATTTTAGGTTGAGGCTCTGGTTTTCTTTCTTCCGAGCCAACGAGAAGTACAGGAAGCGCCAAATAGCTCAGGTCTAAATCAAAGAAAATGTTTGCAAGTGTTCCTAAAGCTGCTTCTGTGTAATGTTAATGCTGTATTAGCATTTAGCTTAACTGCCTGATTGTATGTGTTGTGTAAAGAAGCAGAACACAAATTTCTCAGTGGACCTCTTCATTTGCATGTTATATGCTTTCGCATATTTCCAAAAGCAAGTGAGTAATTAGTTCCCAATCTATTCATGAATTCACATAATTAGCAAAATGCTTTTGGTGCTTGCTTAATAGAGATGTTAGTGTATTTAAAAATTTTAAGGAAACAAACAACAAATCAAAATGGCTTCATTTGCTGAGCCATTTCTTGGGTTCCATAGTATTTCCTTAAAGAAAGTGGACCTTTGGCAATCAACATATAGTTGTTTGTTTGCTTTTTTAATGTAGGTATTGAAGCCAAGCCTTTCTAGGAACTGCATAAAGTGTCTGGTCTGAAAGCTGTCCTCTCTCAACCCAAATGCATATGGTTATCTCAGCAAGAAGGCAAAGGTGCTTTGCACATACTCCAAGAGTTTTTCCCCCCTCCACATGTTGGAGGAGAAAAAGAGGTTCTGGAGCTGAGCAACTAACTGCTCTAATAAAACCATCTGACAAACAGTTTAAAGCTTCCCTAAAATGTGTGGTGCCCAGGAGTCTTCTCAGTCCCTGCCTGAAACACAACCCCAAGTCATATACCTAAGTCATACCTGTGAGGTATGAGTGTCACCAAAAATGGCTTTCTCCATTATCAAGGCTCCAAGTTTCAATTGATAAAAGCAAGCAGTGCTCATAGGAGCTTCCTAGTTAAATGGTTGCTTCCCAAGTCAACACCCTCCTGTTCCCCCTTAACACAGTGTTGCTGGTGTTGATATAACTATCCCAAACATAAACTAAATCAATAAACGCTTGGTAATGCACGCTAAAATGTATTCTGCTTTACTTTATTTCATTTATCCCCTTAGACCAAAAGTCTCATGGTGACTTACACTAAAACAAACACTACAAATCAAATGCAACAGATGTTTTTAAAATATATATTATGTCAACAGTAGCTAAAACACTCCAATGATCGTATAAGAATTCTCAATATATTAATCAAATCTATGTCTGGCTAGCTACCAGAATAACCAGAAACTGACATAGGAAGATGCCTTACTCTGAGTGAGACCCATTGGTTCATCTACCTCAGAATTGTCTACACTGACTGACAGTGGCTCTCCAGGGAGGGAGAGACGGGGATTGAACTTGCGACCTTCTGTATGCCAAGCGGATGTTCTGTCACTGAGCCCATGACTCAGTAGAATAATGCAAGAAGAGTGATGAAGACTTTCTTTGAATTTCAGTGAGACAAGACACGAGGTTTGGTCTAATTTTGCATTGCATCTAATATCTTGTGAGAAAGCACATAACTGATGTTGAGTATGGATTCTGCTGCCCATTGCATTCCAGTACAACCAGTGAAATGATTTAGAAGCCCTTGAATGTATAAATAGACATACTGCACATGGATCTGGTGAGATGTGCTCAGGAGCAGTTTTCCAGATGAACATGTGGTGCTGGATAAGGAAGAGGAAGTGCAAAAGAATGGTACTCACATGGTTCTTGGTGCTGAACAAAGAAACCCAATGCTATTGCCTATATTTCATTTTAATTCAGATTGTTACTTAAAAAACAACAACACTATAGGTTAAAAAGCATACTATAGTTCAACATGATTGGCTGAGGATGTATCCTAGGCCTGCTTCTTATGCAGCATTTGCAAGTCCATGTATAGGGATGGAGAACTCGTCCATAGATATGCATTCACCATTTTCTCTTTTAACACCCAAGCGAATTATTCTGCCAACCTCTGAAAAAGAGCATGTTCTCACAGTGCTTTGTGCTAGAGGAAAACAATTACACTGAATAAGGTAGACTAGCTCTGTTATTGCGGTACATAAGACTTTGATTACATACTGCCAAGATTCATACCAGCCTAGTAGTTGTTGACAGATAAAGTAACAAAAATGAAACTCATTTATTTTTTCTTTATTGAGACCTCAAGGTAAAGCAAATTTTCAGGTCTTGTACTTACTGCATGGAAAGAACAGAGCCTGACAGTCAAAGTGTGCTGGTCCAGAAATCTAAATTAAACCTAGTTTCATATCAGAGTTTCATTTAGTCTCTGAAAAGGAGCTGCTGCCTGGATTACTTTTTTTTTTTAAAAAAAGATCTAAAACAAATATACTGTGGATTGCTGCAGTATGCCTTGGATATGTTATCCCTGTCACATGTTTGATTCTTGGAATCCCCCACCCCCTTAAAAATATAATTGCAGTGTGGTGTATTTTGGGGGCGTTTTCTGCAAAGCAATGCATGTATTCGCGACAACAACACACAAAAATGTGGTATTTTAGAGGAAGTTGCTTTGCATAAATATTTATGAGGCAAATTTGCTTTACAAACATTGTGCGTATAAGGAAATATGAACACTAAACTCTTCCATGAGGATTTATTTATTTACTTAAAGATTGCAAACTGATGTGGAAATGTGGAGAACTGAATTTAAGATTGGAAAAATTAGAAATGGAGGGCAACCCACGCCAGATTTGACCATCCCTGTTCTACAGGAATGGGGGTTCCTGCATGGATGTCAGCACTGAAAGCTGCTAGGAGTTTAGTACAAATATGACCTGTCACAATCCCTTCTTAATGGCCAGTATCCCTGTGTACCAGTGGTGGCCCCTCTCCGTGACTGGATCAGGTGCAGCTCTCCACTTGCGCCACTAAAAACCCCTCTGGGCACAAGGAGCCCTCTTGCAGGACTAGAGCATGGAAGCCCATAAAGAGAATATTGTGTGCCAGCAGCTGTATTTCCTTTTATCAATTTCATTAGTTCCTGCAGCACTTTGTATGGCTAGCTATGGAAATTGAAACTGCTAAATGAGTACTTTTATTTCATCGAAACCATTCTGCGGATGCTGAGCCCAAGTTAATACAATTGCTGTTCAGATTAATGAGGCAGCGTTTGCAACATCTCCTCTGTAATTAAACACTTCCATGGCTGGCAATAGCATTAAAGATGCACCAGATGTTGAAAGCTCAGTGGTGAAACTTAAAACTGTTAAAATTGAAGGGGGTCACCTGTGAAACACAATCTCCTTAACAGTCACTTTCAGAGCCCATCTCAAGAATAATTTTGGTTTAGGATTAGGTTTTAGGTAGCTTGCTTGTTTCTTTCTTTCTTTTTATCAACCTATCATCTACATTTGAGAATTTTCTCATTAGGTTCTGAGCAAAAGTAACATAAACTGAACTTGTTTCCAAAATTACCTTTTCTGACCTTTCCCTAGATGATAATTATGAAACCAGTCAGCTTAGAAGACTTGTTTTTTAAGAAATCTTATAAAGTAGTAGCAGAAATGTCCCTCTTGTGTGCCGGTGTCAAATTTCAAAATTAACATTTTGGTTCATGTGCTTCTAATAATCACTGACCCTTACTTCATGTACTTTCCACAGGAAATGAATGCAGCAGAAATTACTTTGACCCTCTGATGGATGAGGAAATAAACCCAAGGCAGTGTGGGATGGAGGTCAGCAAAGAAGGTGAGGTGGAATTAAGTATGTAATTTTTGTGTCAGAATATTCTTTCCCATTCATGGAAATGAGGTGACAAAGATCACAAATTCGGTTCCATTTAAATATCCAGCTTACAATTTAAATTATAAGTATTAGCCGCTCTAAATGTGATGGAAAGCCTTGGTAGTCTTTGATGAAGGACAGTGTGTTAGCGGGCAGATACAAGCAACTCAATGTGGCCTGGCATTCTGCTTACAGGTTGTGTTTAAAACTGAGTTTCATGAGTGCAGGTATAGAGTGGAAAAACACCCACCTAAGCATATGAGTTAATTAAAAAATGTTTAAAATACCCGGTCAAGACTAGCATAGCAAATTGTATAATTTCTGCAGGCCTGGCTTTGAATAACGCTACCGCAGAACTAAATTATTTTGACTGTGTGGGTTCACAATCAGGATTTTGTTGAGAAAAGACAACAATCAAGTATTTTCCTAGATTTTAAATCTCACGATGGGGGATGTTATGTAGAACAGGTAGAATAAGTGTCTTAATTGTTCTCTTTTGGAAATTTCCTTTTGTAATCCAGGTTTGGTTAGATACATTAAAATAAAAATGTGGTCTTTTTTAAAAAAAGACAACCGTGTGAATGAGAGACAAATATGATCACACAGGGGAAGTACAGGAAAGACACCTAGAAAGCAAGCACAACTTACCGTACATCATCTTAAATTAAACTGGCATAAAATACGCCAAATCCAAACTCCATTCAGTAGCAGGGATACTGTCGGCTGAAATGACCTAAATCTGCCAGAGGGAAAACAAGCCTTTAGCATCCTTTTGCCAGTGTAATTTCAGCTAGGTTGCCAGGTCACATGACTCAGCAGAATGGAGTTAGGATCCAGTATAAGTCCTGCCCCGACCAATCACTGACCAATCACTCCCCAAGAATCCCCATTTTCCAGTGTGTGTTCTGCCATTCCTGTGATAAGGTAGTTACGCTGGGCTGGGGTTGAGGGCTTATACTGGTGTAGCCTGGCTGACCTAGGAAACTGCTGGTTGAGCCAAAGATCTGCCACATCCTAACTTGTTCATTCTGGAGGATCTAGGGTTGGATTGTACCACTAGATTGAATTGCTACCTATATGAGGAAAGCCGAAAGAAAATCTCTTCCCATTCCAAACTCAATAACTCACTTCTACGGTCAACCAAACGACACACAATTAAGATGGATAATGCAAAAAGTGGGTGTGAAACATATGGACTTCCATCATTGACTGTCTTGTTGGAGGCCCACCCTTGTTATAGAGGTACTACTTCTTGATTTCTACCAGTTGCTGCCCTTATACAATAGTTTGCAGCAAGAGATCCTTCCTTCAGCACACCCCAAACTTCCATGTTGCCAGTCTTCAAATCCATCAGTCAATGATGTGCCTGTTAACTTATATGCAGACACACAAGCACACAGTATTTCCATTCCTTGGGCATATAATAAAGGGTGATGTGAAACAGAAGGAACAAAATGGCCAGTGTTTCCAAGTTGACATGCAGAGGCTTAGGCCAATTTGTTCTTGTGAACAGGTTCCACGTGACCTTTCCTTGCTATTCCAAGACACAATTTAATTATCAATTTAAATCCAGCTGAACCATATCTCTACCAGCTTAACAGAGAGCAAGAAATGCCACCCTAAAGATGTTCAGAACTTGCCTTTATAAACCTCCAAAGGCAGGAATTTCCCTTGTTGTGGTATACCTCAAGGCCACCACTGTATGTGCCCTTGATATCTGAATGTGACAGATGGACCTTTGAAAGCCATGATCTTCCTTCGCAGTGAAGCAAGCCATATGGTTCAAAGGTCTGCCAGTCTATCTTGCCATAAAATGTGCAAATACACAGAGACTTAATACAATAAACACCCTAAATCTTCCAGGAATGTTATCAAAGACCCATTCAAATATTATTAACTTTGTGTCCACAGCCTGTTGGAATGGGAGACTGAACAACGTAAGATGAATATTAAACATTTCCTTGGGTTGTTATGTGGAACAGACAAAAGCCCTTAGAAAAGTCCGTCCAATTTGTTCCTTTTGTTTGACTTAATATATTAGGTCTCCCTGTGTCTCGGGGAGCCATAGCTAAATGGCTGTCTTTTTGAATTTCTCTTACCATGTCTCTGGCACAACTGTCACTTGAAAGCCATGTGAAAGTCCAATTTACTAAGGGTATGCCAGCCACGGCAAGCAGCCCCAGGTTGGTTAAGATCTACAGAACCACAGCACAAGACTGAGCTTTTCTTTATTCCAGACATAATTACTTTGATCAGCATGAGACCACAGATTGGAAAAGAGAGCTTTGCATAAGATGTGTCCAGAAGACACAGTTTTATTTTTGAAAAGCCCAATTTATGATACATGTTTCCTCCTTCCATCACTCCTGCTTCTCTTCTCCCTCCCCTTCTCCTTTTTTCTCTTCTCTCCCTCTGGAAGTTTAAACATGTGAAAAGATATACAAGGGGTGGTTTAGCCTTTTTAACCTTGGATCTTTCTTTTTAAAACGTATCCTTTGCTCATAACCCATTTATACATTGCACTGTTTCTGGGATGTAGCAATCAAAAAGTCAAATGGGAATCGCCCAGGGAGTCAAGTCCATAGCAGATCTTACTCTCAGAAGTGGAGAGGCCAGCCTATGCATCTCCACCCAGTTCTGCCCAAGAAAGGAAATGGCAAGATGACCAGATGAAGAAGCCCCTCATATCAGGGGAAGTCAATCTGGAGCCGTCCGGGTGTTGTTCCACTGGATGGCATTAAACCCTGCTGGCATGGCCAATAATTGAAGATGATGGTTGCCCAGCAACATTGGGAGAGCACCACATTGGTTACCCTTACCTTATACCTAACATTTATAAAACTCCCACATCTGGCTTGCTTCTGGGTCTGATCAACTAGTAAACCTGACCCTGTCACCTCCACCTTACTCCCAGCTGTGCAGGAGCTTGGTCTAATGATCATGATGATGATGGTAATAAGAATTTTATTATTTATACCCCGCCCATCTGGCTGGGTTGCCTAAGCCACTCTGGGTGGCTTCCAACACATATAAAAACATAATAAAAGATCAAACATTAAAAACTTCCTGATACAAGGCTGCCTTCAGATGTCTTCTAAAGGTTGTGTAGCTTTTAATCTCCTTGACATCTGATGGGAGGGCATTCCACAGGGAGGGTGCCACTACTGAGAAGGCCTTCTACCTGGTTCCCTGTAACTTCTTCTCGCAGTGAGGGAACTGAGAGAAGGCTCTCAGTGCTGGATCTCAGTGTCCGGGCTGAACAATGGGGGTGGAGATGCTCCTTCAGGTATACAGGCTGTTTAGGGCTTTAAAGGTCAGCGCCAAAACTTGAAATGTACTTGGAAATGTACTGCGACCCAGTGTAGATCCTCCAGGACTGGTGTTATATGGTCCCAGCGGCCACTCCAAGTCACCAGTTTAGTTGCCACATTCTGGATTAGCTGTAGTTTCTGAGTCAACATTAAAAGTAGCCCCACACAGAGTGCATTGCAGTAGTCCAAGCTGGTCTGAGTGAGAAAAGGTTTTCTGTGACTTTAAATGCTCTGCTTCTTAAGGGATTACTGATTCCTGCCCTACTCCATCTCCCAGCAATAGACTGTTATTGAGAGCTGGCCATTCTGTCTCACTTCCAATATTGCTGTTGCCCTTCCCAGCCATGTGAAAGTTGCTGGTGTCCAGGAGAGTTGTTAAAGGTGTAACTCTAGCTACACTTACAAGGGAACAAGCTCCACTGAACACAGTGAGACTTAATCTCAGAAACCACGCATAAGTTTGCACTCTAAATGCTTATTACGTGCCATGTTATATCCCCACTTAAAGAGTTTTTGAAATTATCCAGACTTATCTGACCTCCATTACTTCTCTTGTTTTAGTGCCTGTGAAGTTGGATGAGAAACTCCTCTATGACAAACTGATGACTCTTCTAGATGAAGAGAATAGAATTCTGGTGTCACATGGTAAACGTCTTTCATTCACATATTTGAACTGTGTTTGCTTTTTGGCTCATTTATGTATAATAAAGGACTAAGAGTTGGTTCACAACTTCCCAACCATCATTTAGTTTCTCTTGCTGATGTAGGAAGAAGTTATGGTCCTACAGATGTTGCAGACCTTTAACTCCCACTAGTCCTGCCTGTTGACCATGGTGGCTGGAGCTGAAGGGAGCTAAAGTCCGAAAAGATCTGGAGGGCCACAGGCTCCCCATCTTTACTCTGTCCAACTGCATTTGATACCTGAGAGGTGAAGTGTGAATGGTCCCTGCCAAAAAGAACTGTGTGCTTGAGATGCTCCAAAAATTTGGTCTGTGGTGGTCCATCTTCAACAGCAAATGATGTCTTGCTGTTGTAGTCAACAAGAAATGAACATATGTGTGTGAGACCAAGCCCTATGACTAGGTGAATTTTCATGATTTCTACATAGAAATCATTAATGACACATAGGTCACAAAATAATTGCAAGCAGGCACATGAATCCATATTTACAAGCTATCCAACAAATGCATCGGGCCCCTAAACCATACTGAAAACTTAGACAATGTAATGCTGCGTTAAAGCCAAAGGCCAAGCAATTTTTTGTGTGTTTTGCCAGCCTCTTAATTTTGCACTCTCAGACAATTTCCTGTTTTAAAAAATCATAAAATGGTAGTCATTGCTGCCACCACTCAAAATTATCACTTAATACTGAATATTTAATATTTTATTTCTGCCCTCCAGGCATCTGTCCTATATTACCAATATATCCATTTACCAATCGTGTATAGCACAAAATAATGTTCAAAGTACAAGCCTATACATGTGCAATCAAAAGTAAATTTCACTGGGTTCAGTGGAAATTACTCCCAGGTAAGGGGCTATGGGACAACAGTCTTAAGTGCATAGGCAGTTACAGAGTGTATACATTTGGAGGAAAATTAGTGCAGCAGACAAAACTGGTTTATTCACGAGAACACTTGGAATTCAAAATATATCAGATTAAAAATCTCCATATCCCATGGTGGTAGGGTTTCAGCACAGCTTTGGTACTCAGAAATCGCTGAACAATGTTAACTGGGCAAAAGTTAAAATGTATATAAGATGTAGATATTGGAGTCAGTTCTGTGTCTGAATGTATGGAAGGCAAAAATGTAGATGTGATGTTTTCCCACAAAGGGGGGGGGCGGGAGGGAGTAGACAAATCTAAAAACATGGATTTCTCTTCATGTAACCCATATGAAGTAAGATGTGAACAAACTGGTTGCTGTCATCTTTTAGTGATCCTAATATGGGAAAATGAGCAAAAGAATCCTCTTGATTATTTGTGACAAACTTCTGTAAGTATCAGAACAAAAGTCATGGTATGATTTGCAGGAGAGTATGTAGTGTTGTAATCCAAAAGTCCTGCAAAATGCAAGCATATGCTTGTAACAGTCAGAAGAATCAATATATATTAATGCTGGGAGGAAACAAGACTATTTTGTTTCATTTCTACTTTTGCTATTGCCCAAAAGGACTTCAATTTTTGCCTATTATTTTGGTCCAAGCACAGAACCTTAATGACCTTGCAGACAAGAATTCTGCATCAGCCTGCATTTAAAGGTGAACCAAGTAAGAAATACGAGGGTAAAGTGTGCATATAAAGTTATCTATTGATGAAAACAGTGCTTTTTTTCCTAACAAAATGTTTAGAGGTACTCTCATTATCCTACTCATATTGAAATATTGCCCCTCAATGAGGCCAAACTTAGATTCACAAAATGTTTATGGGTTTGTCTACCCCTGCGTCCCCCCCCCCCTCAAAAAAAGCACTGGGTGAAAATAACATACCGAAACGAATTCTGTTAGGGGGAATTGTATACAAAACGGTGTATGTTGATGTGGAATGCGGAGAGTCAAATTTAAGATTGGGAAAAAAGAGAAACTGAGAGAAACTGAAATTGACAGATTCACTCATCCATCGCTGAAAGGCATGCTGAAACTTCATTGTTCCACTCCACATGTTTATGTGCCCTTTTCTTAAGAGTCTTTGCTGGTTGCTTGGAAGTTTGAGTCAAATGACTGTGCCAGACATGATACTAATGAGTCAACGCGGCAAGGCGTTACCATTCTTTTTGCTGCACCACTGTATACATCCTTAACATTCCTACAGCGACATTTTAGAATCAAACTTGTTTTGTCGTGTATTGCAGCTTGTTGGATCTGAACAGTATCTCAGAACTATAAATTGCAAGAGAGAGAATTTCTCCCGGTAAAAAGAATCTGCTGCATTCTTTCTTTTTCTAGAAAAACCAGATGAAGACACTTTAGATTCTGCGTGGCCTGCTGGCTTTACCAAGACAAGTGGACTTTGTGAGGAAGGCGACGAGGAAGAGACTCGCCCTTACATTGAGCAGTTTGAGAAGAGTGTTCAGGATGAGATTATTCTCCTTGACAACTTTCCACGGGAACAGGTGAGTGTCAAGTACCAACACCCTTAGGGAGAGTACACCCAATGGGCTCTTAAACATGTTCTGTGGCAATGGGAAAATGAGCATCTTTTGGCGGAGAACCAAGGAGGATGGGCTGGATGAGAGCCAATAAACTGAAACAGACAGAAAAGACAGGGATGCTGTTTGCAGGAGATTCTCCCCTGGAAGAATCAGGTTGGGATCATGGAACTGCTCTGGACAGGAAAAGCATGGAGGAATGGGGCACCCAGTTATGGTGGTCATGGCTAGGGGAAAGTCTGACAAAGATGGGTCATGTAGCAGAGGGAGAAGGAGAGAGGTGAGGTCATAGCAACGAAGCCAACTCACCATTCCCACCGCTGTGTCCTCTCTGCTGCCTCACTCCTCTCTCCCTCTTGGTTACTGGCAGTGGCTTCCCCATTTCGAAGCCAGTTAAGCAACACTGCTTGGCAGGGGGTTGGACTCGATGGCCCTTGTGGTCTCTTCCAACTCTATGATTCTATGATTCTATGATTCTATGATTCTAACACTCTTCCATTTTTCTCTTGCCCTACCAGCTGCTACTGAGAGGGGCTGCTTTATCAATGAACAAGGGCTCTGTGAGTTATACAATTCTGAGCTCCAAGAGAGGTGTGGTTATTAAGGGTTTAGGTGATTGCAATGTTTAACTGATGCATTTAAAATTTTTACACTGTAATACTGCATGCTTTAAAGATGTTTATATCGTTTTATTGCTTGATGCTTGCCATCCTGCGCTCCTTTAGGAGGAAAGGAGAGAGGAAAATTTAATAATAAGTAAAATAAAATAAACAAATGTCTATAATTGTGAGTTGCCTGGGGGACCTTGTATAGGCATCACATAAAATCATATAACAACAACAGAACAACAATATAATAATAAGGTTGTGAAGATAAAATTCTGTCCCTTAAATATATCACTAAAAGTCTTTAAACTTTTCAAGAGCATCATCATGTTATGAAAAATAATAATTCTGATACTGCGGTACACAGTCTAACAAATACATAGAAGCAATAAATTCTCCGTCTAATGCCTTTTTATGTCATGAGATATATGCGGGTTTGATTTTTTTAAAAAATGCAGCCATCAGTAAAAGCTAATTTTTACCACAAAGTCCCATGCCGTAGCCTATCACAATAGGCATTTGAATGTTTATGAAGTCTCATCTGTAACCATTGAATACCTTTCCTTAACTGGCAAGGGAGGGTTTGAATCCACATGTAATAGAACATATAGAATTTAATTAGCTCTTAATAGTCACAAGTGGAAGAGATAATTATTTAATTGGGTTTTTACCTTTTTATGGTAGTCTTAATTGATTTGTCACTTGCCTTCAGGTACTGACTCAAAGGTATTACGTTACTTAACATGATACCTTGGGGGTTTCCACCTCCTACCCCAATTGTCTGTAATCTTCTCCACTTGGACAAAGCACTACCACTTAAAATAGAAAGATATGCAAAGATAGAACAATCTAAAAATAAGCTAGTGGTAAAATATATAGTGCTCTGGTTTTGACAGTGGGAAACACCAGAGATGCATAACGTTAGCGCCTTTATCTCTCCCTGAACCAAACAATTTTGCCTCTACAGTAGTATTCAAAGATCCTCAAACTCTTTTATATTCAGATAATCAGATAGTCAGGCAGATATATCCTCTGTGTTTTGTTTTGTAGTTTTGAGAAGATCCTGTATTCCACCAGCCCTTTGATGTAGTTTTCTCTCTGAATTCATTTTCAAAACCCTGCCTTTTTATTCACAAATATCATACAAATAAAACAGACATAAATAAACATCAACAAATATGTATTTATGTGAAAAATAATACTTCTAATTATGCTTTCATGCCATTAATGAGTTTGACATCATGATTTGACAGTGTAGTTATTGAGAAGTTCTGTTCAATTCAATGAGATTTAAGCCTAGGCATGTTTGCAACCTAAGAGTACAATCTAATCCTAATTACCTGGTTTAAGCCCATAGAATTGCCTAATGTCTGAGTAGACATGGTCTAAGGTATCCACCATTTTCCTGTCCATTTTGGTTTCACTCAGAGCTTATCTACACTTCCTCTTATCATAGAATCATAGAATTGTAGAGTTGGAAAGGACCCTAAGAGTCATCTAGTCCAACCCCTTGCAATGCAGGAATCTCAACAACAACAACAACAACAACAACAACAACAACAACAACTTATTAAATTTGTATACCGCCCTGTACCCTCAGGTCTAAGGGCAGTTCACAGGATAAAATCATGATATAAAAACACAGAATACATAATCAAAATAAAAACAAGAACAACCCAATAACATTCTCCAGGACAGATGGCCATCCAATCTCTACTTAAAAACCTCCAATGAAGGAGAGTCCACAGCCTTGTCCTGCTGCTCTCTCCAAGGCAAGACCACTCTTTAGTGTTCAAGCAGGCAAAATGACAATTCAGGTATTCTGTGGATTGATCCTTGCTCTGATAAAGAGTGGGTTTTCCCTGGCAAAGGAGTAGGGCAAGCGGAAAACCACTTTTTATTGTGAATTTATTAAAAAAGGAATTAGAATAAAGAGGGGGGACCCATCAGCTCACATTAATAATAATAAAATGGTCATCAGCACATCCATCTTAGTTTCCACTTATGGCTTGATATATTCTTGCCAAATGTCCAAACCAAGTTGAGTTTATAAAAAGTACATTAAAATGTAGCAAGGGTTCTACATTTTAAGGAGGTGGTGAGTGTATTCACCAAGTGTATTCACCAAGAGTAAATTCTCTTGGTGACCACAAAGGCTCACAAATCCATTTCTGTTATCCTTTCATTAACCCCCCATACTACAGGAATATAATTTCAACATACACAAACATCCTCAGATATCAAGGGTTTCACCAATTTAAAATTAATACGGACAACAGCTTCAGACCACAAAGAAAAAAATAACTGCATATACTCACATCTTATGCCTCAGCAGTCATTTTCAACATCATATCTCCAGCATCTATCTGTATTAGACAATGCCTTCCTATAAAGACATTGCAGAGTTCAATATGCAGTACCCAAAGCATGCTTTTATTAATATTAATGCTGTTAATATTACTATATGGAAGACATGAAGATTTCCTCAGAAAGTTTCCTCCTAAGTGTTGACGAGCAACATAACAATGATTATTCTACATGTACAGAATATCAGCCCTATATATATATATATATATAGCCATATGCAGCCATACACAGTCTGCATGTTGTATTCTAGTGAATATTCTGACTACATAAATTGCTTTCTCATGAGGGAAATATTAGTGTTTTTAAACTACTTGCATCTTCTTTATCTTGTCCAACCCTGAAACGATCAGTGTTATATTACAATTTACATAACTGAATTTGGGATTAGTTGAAGAGAAGTGATAGAAATGTGTACATGCTGATTTTATTTTTCTGAAGAAGGAAGTGTTGTTGTTTTTGTGTAAATCATTAAGATCATGCAATAGCTATACTATATGTACCACAAAGATTCCATTGAAATTAATGGAAGGTTGTTCCCAGGGCAAATAGCAGCTGTGGGGGTTTAATCAGGATAACGGTACATATACAGTAAGGGTTAAATGTGCCAGTCTCACTTCTGGTCCACCCACCCTGCCCTAGTAACAGTTACTATTTCAGTTAAGAGCTAGACACATTAACTGCACTCACACAATTAGCATAATGTCCAATTTGGGTGTGTAAGAAAACTGTACCAAAGATATGCATATTATAGGTGGAAGGTAAGATAGTCTTTTAACATTATATCCTTGTCTTTATGAAAATGTGCAAAAAATTGGTTATACTAAAAAGATATGCTTATTAGAATTCTAAAAGTTCAAATGTTCTTTTGTATAGGGTTTAAAACATAAAGGCATTTTCCAGTACACAGAGGAGTTCAGAAGGAGGCTTCCCAAAATCTTTCGAAGGTATGTATTAGTAACAGAAGTCTTTACTCCTTCCATTGCTTTCTACCTGGGAATCCTACTATATACACCAGTGCTATTAACGTAAAGCCTTTGCTAGCAACTGTCAAGTATAGAAGTTCCTCTCTCTGTTCTGGTAGCTCAACGATAAGAATTAACAAAGCATTTGGTAGATTTATAGTCCTTTTATTACAGCATTATGTTGCAAGCACAAACAGGCAACCCTTCACAAGGATATCAGTTGCTTATTCTGACTCCTCCCCACTTCTGCAGCAAGAAGCGTGCCAATGGGAAGCTCCTCCCCCCTGTGTCTCCTTTGTTCTGTGACATGCTTGGACCTCCAAGTTCAGGGGAAGGGAGGGGGTTCTCCCCCACTCTCTATTGATGTATCATCCAGCTGCTCCCTCCCTTCTGGTTGCTTAGCTACTATCTCATAGCTGGGTGGCTCCTCTCTCAACTGAGCAGCTTCTGTTTCTGCCTGTCTCTCTGCTTCTGGAAATGCTTGAAGCAGGGGTGGGCGGGTGAATATTCCCCCTCCTCTTCCATTAGGAGCTGATCTCCCTGTGATTGCATTCCCCAATCTTCCGATCCAGACCAGCCCCTGACATCAACTTTAGTATTTAACTTTTGTTAAAAATTGAGTGTGGTTGACCATGGCTTAAACCATGAGAAACTGTAATACTGGTTTCTATGGGCCCTGGTGCAGGTCAGTAACGCTTGATGTGGTGGGGCAGAGCTGTGGGGCCCACCTCCCATCTCTGGGTGACACTGCAGCTTGTCTGGATGGGGATGGGACCATGGCGAGGCTGAAGCTGTGTTGGGGTTCCACAGACACATTGCCAGAACCAATCAATCACTCCTACTGGTCCATCCATGCAGTCTCAGGGCAGTCTTGACTCCAACACAGCCTTGCCCCATCTCCATCCTGATTATTTGCTGTGTAACTGGTACCAGGATTGTGGCTGTACTGGTATAGGGGCGGCTGCTGATACAGTGGTACCTCGGGTTAAGTACTTAAATCGTTCCAGAGGTCCGTTCTTAACCTGAAACT